AATTCAAATCTTGAATTATATCAATTACTAGTGGCTTCACTCAGTCAATCTTTATAATTTCTCTGATTTATTTATTTCTTTATTTATTTAATTACCCTTTTTGAGACAATATCCGTAGATATTGGCACAGACCTTAGAAATCTTTGTCATTATTGAAAGTATAGTCTAATTCCCCTCTCTTTATCCTTTAATTATTTCAGTCTCTCCCAACCTTATATCATTAAGGTGAATTCAAGTGAAAATCCACTTACCAATTCGCCGTAACAATAGATTAATATAATATAATAGACCATTCATGTGCATGTACGTGCAATGCAGAATTTCTGTGAACACAGAATTCAATGATGTATGCTACATGTAAAATTCCCTTAAGCCTACAATAAATCTAATAAGCTAATTTTTGTTATTTGACTTTTAATTTTGATTTAAACAATTTTGAATTTAATGAAAAAATTCGCGTATACATAATCTCTTCAATTTGAAAGAGAATAATTGCATATTGATATGATAAAATACATGTAGTAACAGCGGACAAACAAATTGAATATTTCTATAGAAAATAAATTAAAATATCATTGCCGTCACAACGAAAACTCTCGTCGTGTCTACGAAAATTCTGGAATGATGCAAGACCTAATCTTGTATTCCTAATTGGTAACGGTCAAAAATCCCGAAGAACGAAATTCCAAATGAACGGTATACCGAATGATCGAAATCCCGAATGACATCCCGAACGAACGAAATCCTAAATGAACGACCCCGAATGATCGAAATCCCGAAAGCGTAGCATCAAATGCATGGACCAAATTATCGGAGTGACAAATATTAGCAAATATCTATAAGTTCTTCCTGAGATTTCACATGCACAAGATGCACGTGATATTATATTAACATCTGTGATTTTGCCCTTCTCTTTCTCCCTAGAATATTAGCTAATATTTACTTCTCTTATGATTTCGGGATTTCGATCATTCGGGATGCCTTTGGATAACTTGGCTTATTTGGAGTTAGTTTCATATGGAAAATTTAATTAGTCTTGACTAATCTCAATACTTCTTTCTAACAAAATAGTTCATTCGGGATTTCGTTTGTCGGGCCTATGAATGTGTTCTTCGAGATTTTGAACGTTACCGATCATAATTATGCCAATGATATTTTTATATGCGTGTGTTTTTCGAAATATTTGACTTCGTCACAATAACCGATCAAATTGAAATTCTGTTTCTTGAAATATATATTATAAAAAAATCATCCGAGTACTATAATTGATCCTAAAGTTCTAAATAATGGTTCTATTTTTAATTTAACTTTTAACGTGAAAAAGTTAATTTTATATACATGTGTATTGATATATTTGAAACAACAAATATAATAAATCAACTTACTTTAAAATTGAAAATAAAAAATATGTAAGCTTAATAATAATAAAAGTAAAGGTTCATCAATTCTTGCGGAACTGGCACAGGACTGTTCTTTGAGTAATTCAAGATCCACTTCAAAGCACAATGTTCATCTTTTAATACGCCGCCGTATCCATAATGACAATGACCCGCCATTTCACGTTGTGCTGCACTGAATCCTTTTTCGGCTGATTTTCGAGTCCAATAAATTCTCTCTTTACGTGGCAAAAAAGATGCATATTTATAAGCCCCTTGCGGATGTCCTAGTAATGCAGCTCGTTTATATGCCTCTTTAGCTTTCTCCTCATCTCTCTCTATTCCAGTTTGATAAAGTTCACCAACTTGTATATAGGCAAAACTATCGTTTTTATCGGCCGCATATTTATATAATTGAAATGCTTCTTCATAGTTACGAGCATCAAATCCAACTCCGTAGTGATAAAAAAATCCAAGAAGACACGCGCGCTCGGCGGAGAGTTCTTTTTGTTGTTCTAGAAGTTTGATGATGTGCGCAAGGTCATACTTGTTTTTAGAAATCCAATTTTCTATTGTGGATCGTACAGTCGAGTCCCAGTATATTAAGGTTTGTTGGTAGTAGAGTGTTATGAGTTGTTCGATTAGCTCGTCATCTTTCGATTTTTCTGGTTTTTGTTCGCCAGGGTTCATTATCTCTCTTCCATTATCTTTTGAGTTTGACATATTAATTATTTTTTAATATTAAGAAAATGATTTGTAAAGGAACAAAGTAACATTCCTTAATTAATGCAATGATTGCATTATCATGTTATTATATAATCGTTATTACGTCATCGTTATGTCCATATAAACAAAAATTCACATGTGCTGATTTTACGAGCGATAATTGGCCTTAAAAAACTGAATTGTCATTTTTCCACAGTTCAACATCATGTGACTTAAATTTGGAACATCGAGGTAGAGAAAATTTAGATATTCAAGATTACTTAACAAATTCATCCATGTTGGGTTGTTTTTTTATTATATGTATATTAGAAAAGAATAAGTAAAAAAATGCATTAATCTCAAAATTTTAAGCAATTATTTAAAAAATAAAACTTCAAAACGTTTGATCAATTTTTTATTAACATATTAATTCCGAATGAACGGCATCCCGAATAATCAAATCCCGAAAGATCGAAATCTGAAATCGTGATAATTTAGTATTTCACGCATTTTGGGAAACATGTACATGTATTATAGTGATTTGGATGTCGTTCGGGATTCCGATTATTCGAGATTTCGATCTTCGGGATCTGGTTATTCGGGATGCCGTTCGTTCGGGATTTCGATCTTTGCCGTTATAAGTTTATATTTTAGTAAAAATCTTTTTTATAAAGTTGAAGTGAATCTTATGAACGAAATAAATGATTAAAAATTAACACTTAATCATATTACCATGTTTTATAAATCCCATTTCCACATTACGCAAAGAATAAAAGTTAAAAATCAAATAATGCAAGAATCAAACTAGGTAGCTAAAATCTTTATAAACTTAACGACAACTTTATATGCATCCGATCTATTGACAATACCCGTGCATCATACAGCGACAATACAGTGGCTCACAGAAGAAATGCAACACGGTTTCTATACTCATTTTAAAGCTAATAATCTAGAGAATATTTTTAAAAATCCTAAAAACTATATTAATGCTGCCATCCTAAAGAAATTGAGTTTCCTACATGAATATTTTTAATTAGCGAAATTTTAACTCTAAATAATTTTGTTATCAGGGAGGATTGATGCGGATTGACCTAATAAAAAATTGCTTCCAGATGAATGCTAGTAAAATAATCCAACGATTTTGTCTGCTAGCATTCATCTGGTACTTCGGGATCAAATAACTCAACGAATTTGGTACCAATTTAGCTGAAAATTGGTACGTAGATAGTTCTCCCTAAGAAGCACATTGTTTATTAGGTATTCCGCATCAATCCTCCCTGATAACAGAATTATTTAGAGAGTTAAAATTTCGCTAAATAAAAATATTCATGTAGGTCACGCAATTTCTTTAGAATGGCAGCATTAATATAGTTTTTAGGATTTTTAAAATATTCTCTAGATTATTAGCTTTAAAATGAGTATAGGAACCAGGTATTCTGATAGAGTCACTAGAATTTTCTTTCGTAAAACTTTTCGTGTTGCATTTCTTTTGTGAGCCACTGTACATCAAGTTTTTATTGAATAGCTTAGAAGCAGAATGGACAACAATGGACTTGATGCAATCTATTTAATAATGGATTTTTATCTTGCTTACATCTGAACAATACATCAAAATTTTGTTGAGTTTGAACTCCTTTGAGCAGTCTGAAAACGAAGCAGTTATCGACGAAGAAAATTATAAATACGTATCATCATCAAACAGATAAAACAACTAGAATAATCAAACCAAACTAAAAAAATTTAGTATGTATTCAAACAAATTTCAAATTGACTCCATGACCAAGAATAAAATTCACGGCTAACATTAATAAAACTACGACTACTTCTAATAGTATACTTCCTCAACCAAAAAAACTCACAAAAAAATGATTCAGGATTTAGTGAAGAATTCTTCTCGCCAATTCATATCAAATCGGAAATTCAAAAAACTTTTATTAACAGAAAGATATCTTTCACTTTTCTTCATATCATAATTGTCTCGAATTGAACGATATTCCTAATGAATCAACCTTTATTCGTTCTAGCAAAAAAGACATTTGGTATCCTAAATCGAACGCGTGGTTCAAAGCTCCTCTTGAGTCCTAAATAATTTAAGAAATCCAGACCAGTTGATGAGCGAAAACAAAAGGACAGTTCGAGTCTTCCAGGAGCTTGAACCCTTTTCATCTTTTATTTACGGTATTGTGTTATATTTGACACAATAATAAGAGAGCATTTAACTAAAATGCATGCACATGTAATAGAATTTTATTTTCTTTATATAAATATTATAAGTTCAACTTTAATTATAAAGTTTTCATATAGCTATCATTTAATATGACAGATTAAAACGAAATTTGGGCCGATTTTTGTGCATATCACTTGATGTCAATATCATGTGTTTTATTCAAAATCATTATAGCATGTGATTTAGCATTAATCATATATCAGAATTATGCATTTGACTTACTAAATTATGAAATTTTCTTTTGCTTGGATCTTAAAATTATTATTACTTTGTTTCTTATCATCAAAATTGTCACTGCTTGATATTACTATTTTGTTTCTTGCTATTGAAATTGCTATCTCTTGATATATTTCTTGTCATTGAAAATTACTATTTTTGTTATCTTAGAATACTTCATAATAGTTATAAGTAAATAAAGATAAACAAATTATAACTTTTCTTTCAATTCAAGAAGTCTTGACAAATATTATAATATACTTTAATAAATAAAATATTATTAATTATCAAATAAGCTAATAAAGTATTAATCAAGTAATAGTATAATAATCAATAGAGCTACTGCTAGTGAATCTAATAGTATATTTGCTATGTCTTTTTGATATTTGATATACTTTTTGCTATTAATTTCTCAAATGCTTTGTACTAGATTTCACTTTATAATATTTATTTACTTTTCAGTATTTTACATCATTTCTATTAATTATATAAAAGAAGATTATGCTGGATTTTACTTTATAATATTTATATTACTTTTCAGTATTTTATGCTAAATCAAGTTATTTTTATTAGCTATATGAAAGAAGACTATATCAAAATTAAGATATATAAATAAATATAGTTTTATTTATATTATATATATCATGATTTTTATATACTAAATACAAATATATTACTATATATTAGATAAATTCAAATACAAATATAATTACTATATACTAAATAGATATATTATTTTAACTTTTTAATCTTTTCTCTCAAAATAGTCAAGCTTTTAAAAATATCAAATATATTCAAGAATTTTAATGATATTTTGAGATAACTTAGATTTGATATTTTTATAGTAAAGTATAATATTCTAATAAAGAAAGCAAATTTCTAAAGATAATATAAAATTTTTTTATAATCTTCAAAAGAATTATCTTTTGTATATTTAATTATTAAAAGATGAAAATTTTTAATTCTTCTTTAAAAAAGTTATTCTAGATTATAATATAGAATTAAAAGTAATTCTCTTTAAAAGTTTCATGTTAGAATTATTTACTTTGAGTATCACAAAATATATAATACTTTTCAAGCAATATATTAATATTACTTAAGATGAAATCAAGAAATATATAAGAAATTATTCAAAATATTAATATTAAAGAAAAAGCTAATTTAATATTTATTATAGCTAATAGTTTTAATATATTTAAGTTAATATAGTTAACTTACTTTTTTTTGTCAAGTTTAATAATAGATATAGTTATATTCTCATAATAATTAATATTATATTTGGATTATTTTACTTCAAGATAAAAAAAATAGTATAATTCATTATGAATTAGTCTTTATAAGTTTTGATCTATTCTTAAAACTTCAAGCAGATAATAAATTAAAGTTTATAACTAGAATTTTAAAATATATTTGTAAAGTACTTAAAATATAACTTATTTATAATTATACTTATTATTTGTAAAATCAAGATAAGATTAAGATATTTAATTAAATACTTAATTAATATCTAATAAAAATATTATAAAATGAAGTTTCTAAAGTTTAAAGTTACTAATAGATTAATATTCTTTCTTTTTTATAATTACTTATAATAAAATATTTTATAAAACTTACAAAAAATCACTTTATAAAGTATTTTTTGGTTTAAAATAAGAAAAATATATAATATATCAAACAAAACTATATAAGTTTATAATAAATTAGGTAAAACTATAAAGATTAATGATATATTAGATAAAATTATATAAGTTTATAATAGATCAAATAAAACTATAAAAATTAATAATATGTTAAGTAAAACTATACTAGTTTATAATATTTCAAATAAAATCATATAAATTAATAATAATTTAAATAAAATTATATAAATTAATAATATTCTGGATAAAATACAAATCAATAATATTATAAATAAAATAATATAAATTAATAATATTTTAAATAAAATAATATAATTTATTTAATAAGACTTCAAAACAAATTAATATTTTTGATATTGAAGTTTATATCTTAATCAAAATACAAGAGAAAAAGATATTTTATATAAAATAATTATTAAAGTAATATAAGAGAATAGTAGTCAAATTATTACTTATAAAACTTATATAAGACAGATTAAAATAAAAATTATATAAAAGAATAAGCTTTATCAAAATAAGATAATAATTTATGAAAGTATTTATTAAAGAAAATTAGCTTTTAAATCTGGAGAGGAAATTGCAATTACTTTAGATTATAATATTAATTAAAAAACAAGAAAATGGAAGTTAGAACAAATATATAATATTAATAGAAAAGTTATTGATATATATATAATAATAATAGAATTATAAGAATAAAAGTTAATAATAAGATAAAAATGTTTGCAATGAAGAATTTAAAGAAACTTAGACAAATAGAATAAGTAATAAATAGTTATATATAAATAAAAATTTATTAATTAATTAATGTATTATTAAGTAAAATAATATAACAATAATGAAAATATCAAATATATAATATATATATATCATATGACTTATACATAAAAAAATTACTTATTTCATTTTAATTTAATTTTATTTTAATCTGATTTTATTTTAATCTGCTATATTTAATATATATATATATTAATTATTATATTTTTTAAAAATTCTAGACTTTATTTATCAATATGATATTAATATTGATAATATTTATGATAGCAGTTCAAAGAGATACTGTGGTAAATTATTAATTAAAGAAATATATAATGATATGAACTGGATAAAAAAGATAAACTAAAAGTATTTGAATAGTATTAGAGTTAGAATATCTTAATGCATAATGTATTCTTGTTTTCTATTATGAAAATAATGAAGGAATAATCAAAAGCATTCAAGTGATAAAGTAATGAAATAAGATAATTCTATGATAAAATATAATATTGCTTTCTTATATTGTGATCAAGAATAGAAAAGATGAAGACAAAACAGTAGAATTATTTTTAAAATCTGCTGATTCAGATTATAAAATATTAAATTTTATTAAGATATATAGTAGCTATGAAAGAAATGTTATTCAAAGAGCTTCTAATTTAATCTACTAATGATAATTCTCATTTCTATTTTCGATTTTGACAAGCTTAGTTTAGTCTTGGAAATTCTATCAATATGAAGGATATTAATACCCTGCCATAACAAAAATATGTGTTGATCACGTGATTATTTAAGGGGTAAACCAATCAAATCGCAAGATATGATATATTAATAACATTTTGGTTTGAGTAGGATTAGAGTCAAAGTAGAGATTATATTAAACGTAACAGTTATACGAAATATTTCACAAGAAACATTTTTGTTAGAACACATAAAGCAGTTTCATAGGTATAATTTCGAGATACAAGCTATTTTTCAAAAATTAACGTTTGTTTTGAAGTTTTTTTTATTGGTTTACTCCTTAAAAAAATCATATGTCTGACAGGATTTTTCGCCGTGACTAGGATACTACAAAAACAATTAAAAGTGAGGGTCTCTTATTTTCTTTTATATCTTGGAGGGTTTCTTACTTTTCATCATATATGATACCTTGATTTTCTGTATAGGAGGCCTTCCATATTGTAAAATTTTCTCATGTTTGCTTTTATTTCTTTTTTTATCTCAAAATTGTATCCTTAGAGTGAATAAAATAGAAAACTCATGGCTACCGCGTCTGGCGTCCTGCAGGTGGCTGATCCATGGAAGTGTGAAGTGGAACGATTACATTAGCGTCCAGCTTCCTTTGCAGTCCTGCTACGCTATGTTTGGCATCCGGCCGGCAATGTGGTAGAAGTTCTAGCGAGATGTGTTCATGCCTGGTGTCCGGCCCGGTGGTCCTTCTTGCTTGTAAAGGTAATCACGATGACTGTATCGGGTGTCCAGCCAACAGTTTTCGTGAGTTTTTAATTATCTTGCCTTTATTTTATTTTTTAACTAATTTAACGTTCAATCTGATTCCCAATATCCCATCTGGCGTCCCGCCGGTGATTGAAGCGGAATGATTACATTAACGTCCAGCTAGTAGGATAAAAATCTTAAATTAGCATTAAAATGGAGCTCCCGAAATGGTTGAATCTTTCAATTTGAAAAATATATTTTAACTTGTGATTAAAACATTTATTCATTTATTTGATTTTAAACTAGCATATAAATATTTTTATTATATTTGTTTTTTTATCTTTTATATTGTATTTGTTTTAATTT